AGACCCTGGGAATGCAGAAACGATACCTTTTTATATTAGAGGGTCTAGAATTAAAGGGTAGATATAGAACGTTGGGATGCCCTGTTCCTCATGAGGGCAACCCTGAAGAAAAATTCCATTTTCTGCAGCTCAGTTACTATCTACGCTGTTGGGGAAAGATGTCAGCATCTTGATTCCTGTCCTTTAATATGTGGAATGTGGAGTCAAGTTTATAATTCATAAAAGCATTGTGCTGAAACTATAATTCTTATAAATATTAGTGTTCTAAAAGAAATGGATTTAGGACATATTCTGTGGGCTTTTCTCTTTGTAGTACAGTGACATATTACAGTACTTTCAGGTTTAACACACACACACACACACACAAACATGTCAGAATCTGCTGTCTAATAATAATTAAAATGAAAAATAATTAAAGTGCATTAAAATGTAAGTTATACTTCGAATAATTAAAAGATAAATTTGAGACCGATGCAGGCCCACTAAACACAACAGCAAACAGTATGAGAAGTCCAAGAAGCAATGCTGAGCCAGGACCAACAGGGCATCCCAACATTCTATATCTGTCCTTCAATTCTGGACCCTCTAATATAAAAAAGTATCATTTCTGCATTCCCAGGATCTAGCACATGTAGAGTAAAAACACTAACAGCAGTGTTTTCTAAGTGTTTGTTAAGCCTCACAAGAGTAAACCCAGAAGATGATTAAAGAAAAGAAAAAGGTCTAACTCTGAGGGGACATAATAAACTGAGATCTGTTGGCCTAAGAATTGGATAACAGCACGCAAGGACACAAAAGGATTTTCCTCTCAATATGGAGATGATAAAGTCTACTAAAATGATAGCATTGAGAACACAGAGAAGATAGAAGCAAGGATTGAATATAATGGCAAGGCAACAGTTACCTTGTGGACTCAAACCCCAGAAGTTGCTAAATATCGAAAATGAACACATTTACAAACTATCTCAATCTCCCTTACCTAGGCTACTTTCTGACCTATCCTGTTCACATGTCCACATTCTAAAAGCGCTGTCCTTGGCTGGCTCTGGCCCAACAGTGGTCAGTTAAGATTCCTGGCCAGCCTTGCCCTCGGGGCTGGCTTCCTCTGCTCTTAGGAAGGGTGCCCACCTACCCTGGGGAAGCCGACCACATGTACCATGCTGCTGTCTGTACGCTGAAACCACGATCTCTCAGTTCTTTAAGGGCTCATGAGACAGCTGCCCCTACAAAGGACTGGCCAGAAACCTGGAGCAGGACCCAGCATGGCCTAAACTTCTCAGGTCCATTTGAGGTTCTTGCCAGACACAGTTTAAAGGTAGGTAGGCATAGCAAGTGAGTATAACGTTAAGGAGCAATGTCTGAAGAGTGTCACTTGATGAGGCTCTTGCAAAAAAACCTAAATAACATTTCTTCCTCCAATTAAATAAAATCATTACCTCACTTCAGTTAATGCAGGTTCAGTGTTCCGAATTCTGGCTGTATGGGTACAAGTCCCCAAATCACTCACACAGTGTTATTTACTGGCACACATAAGACCCACGCTGGCCTCTCTCTGTGTGAGCCTGTGTGCACACGTGCGCTTGTGTTCCTCCCCAGAGCAGCGTGTCATGTAATCAGCTTTCCTTACTATAACTTCCTGTCAAGGATTAATCTCATGTTGCCACTTTCACATTCCACAGCACGGCTGAGCCACAAAACAACCTACCAGTCACTTACTCAAAGAATTTGAGCCGTTCACAAATTTGCATCTTTGTATCATAGTTAACACTGAGCTGAATGCTCCCACACCCGAGCTGTTCTGGATCCACTCACTCCCACTGTTACCTGTCCCAGTGCTACAACACATTTCACTGAAAGACTCACCCAGGAGTCACTGGAGGCTGACAAACAATGGCAGCCCTTCCTGCTCTCCAGTTGGAGCGACTCTCCTAATCTTTACGGCTGTGGTTAACATCGAGATTCTGCAACTCCACACACACCTTTCCCCCACTATCATTTACTTTAAGATCAGATTCCACAAACTTGCTTTGAAAAACTCCTCAAAAATAGTAGGTGAAATTCTCAGGGGGGGGAATTCTCACAGAAGTTGGAAAAACATCTGTCAGAGTTGTTGGCGCCCGCTCCTCCGCGACAAGCCTTGTCTAGAAGCCGTACCCTCGTGCCTAGCCTTACTTCCTGAACACGGCAGAGGAAGGCCTTCCTACATAAATGCAAGCGCCTCTGCATTTTAATTCCTACACAAACCATGAAGCCACATTTGTCTTTGTTTATGTTGTTTTTTATTTCATTAATTTCACAGTTGTCTTTTTATTTACTTCTGATTTTGCTGGACAAATTCAGTTCTCTGGCTTCTCATGATGTATGGCTAACATCTATTTTCAATCTTTCTTTTTATTTTATTTTAAGCATTTCAAAAATTTACAGTATGGTGCTTTCTTGTTTTTGTTTTTCGAGACAGGGTTTCTCTGTGTAGCTTTGCACCTTTTCCTGGAACTCACTTGGTAGTCCAGGCTGGCCTCGAACTCACAGAGATTCGCCTGGCTCTGCCTCCTGAGTGCTGGGACTAAAGGCGTGCACCACCACCACCCAGCTGGTGCTTTCTTTAATTCAAATGTTTTCATTTCTCATTCATCCTTCATTCCTTCGTCATTGATTTCTACTTTAGCTGTACTGTAGTCAGGCTGTGTGACCTGCTCAATAATGACCTTCTGGAGGTCCTGAGACTTCTCTAGTTGAGTCTGAGATATGCTATGTCTTCCACACATAGTCTACTAACTTATAAATCATGTTGAGCAAATCCTCAAGGCCTTTTATTTTCTTCAATATTATTTCTAGGATATTCAGATACACATGATTGCCTATTATGATTGTAGACTTGTTAATTTTTCCTTTAAACTATATAAAATTTTGACAGCTCAGGCACATTTCATAATTATTTTTATATCCCTTGTGGACTATTCTATTTGTTTGTTTGTTTGTTTTTGTTTTGTTTTGTTTTGTTTGAGACAGGGTCTCTCTGTGTTGGCTGTCCTGGAATTCACTCTGTACACCAGGCTAGCTTTGAACTCACAGAGATCCACCTGCCCCTGCCTCCCAAGTGCTGGGATCAAAGGTGTGTACCGACATGGCCCAAAGACTATTCTTTACATTGGCAGTAATGCTATATTCCTATTAGTACGGAAGTCACCGTGAATTTCCCTTTTTTCTGATGTTCTGATTACAGCCCGCCCTGTGCTCAGTGGGACTTGGCTGGCATATATTCCCTACAGCTTTCTTCTAGACTTTCTCAATTATTTGAATTACATCCTCTCCAAGCAACACACAGCTGGATTTTGTTTGTTTTTAAACTCCAAATTGGTAGTTCTCCCTTCCACAGGCAAGTTCAATCCATTTAAACTTGTTAGAACGTTCCATGTTCTTCTTCTGTGGCTTCTACTTCCCATCCTCATCCTCTCCTCTGCCCATCAGTCTCCTTTCTGGTCTGTTTGAGACAAGATGCCTCTCCTCACTTTGTTCAGTTTTGCTTTAGGTTTTATCTGTAGACAGTGAGGACTCATCTGCCAACACCACACACCAGAGCAGATCTTGGGTCCAGTGAGCATGCCTCTCCTCAGCTGCCAGAGAGGGAACAGAGACCCAGTCCACCAAGCAGTGCAGGCCCAGGAGCAGGTCTGGAGCAGTGCTTCCCATCAGTCTTGATAGAGGACTTCTCCTTTAAAATACCATCAAGAGACATTCCAAAGGCTCCCTTAATACTGGTGACTTTCACATGAAATTTATAAAGACAATCTACAGAGAAGTGACTTTTTTTCTTTAAAATATAATCGCAGGGTTTTTTTGCTCAGTTTCCCCACTTTCGTTGGCATTCACTCTTTTATATGAATTTTACTGTCAGAGTTCTTAGGTTTCCAGTTTAGGACTTGAAATTTGTCTTGGCATTTTTTATGACCAAGAAAAAAATTTAAACAACCCAAATGTGCACTGAGGGAGTAGCTACTAAATTATACATTAACACATTGGAATAATGAGGCACATTGACTCAACACTTTGGAAACCTGTGGAGTATCCATCAGATGCCTCATAAAACCCAAACATTAAAAAACAGGTAACTACACTGCCATGGAGATGTATTTACTATGAAGGTAAGACACAAAACACCACACATTATGTTACTCTTACTGGGTCAACACATACTATATGCCCAATTTAAAATTTCCTACTTGAAGCTGCTTACGTCTCCCTGCCCCACACAGTCCAACAATCTCCCCCATGAAAGGGAAGAGCATACCACAACAGAGCTGCGCTGACAGCCCCTGGGAACTCGACTTTTTCTTTTTTCTTTTTTCATTTTGAGAAAGGGTCTCACTGAGATCTCCAAGCTGCCCTCAAACTTCAAAAGTCACTGGTATTACAGTTATGCACCACTACATTTATTTTCTTTTTAAAAAAAATTTAGTTATGAATAACTAAATGAATACTATGAATACTACTTCTTTTTTAAGAAAGAGTAACTTTCAGTTCCTAACACAGCGCGAGATTACTTATCATCCTTTTAGGTTAACACACAAATCAGTTACTATGGCAAGCTCACACCTCACTACATGTACCACTGATTTCACTTCCTGGCAGCGACAGGCATTTTGGAAGTGGAAAAAAAAGCTCAACCTAAATTCAGTTTAAAAGCCAAGTTGAATGCCTGTCTAAAATGTGGGGTACTTCACATGATTTATTCTTAACCACACAGTGATTCAGAAAAGGGGGATTTCTGCCTAAGTCAGTGCGCTCCTCTTGTCGCGAGGATGCACTTGACCTACTTAGATGGCTGTTTCCTTTGCCAGAGTTCTGACCAAGTCACTAACTGGAAGAGTAAACACATAGATTTTGTTCTCAGTTTATTCCAGTTGAAATTTACATACTGAAAATGTTAAAGAGATGTATAAATGACTGAACAGCTGAGTTAAATAGTTTTAGCTAAACAGTCTTACTTGTTTTCTCCCTAGTGACTCTGACCCCTGCTGGATACAGAAATGGCTAACAATTTTACTACTGCACTGGCAACTTCTCAGGGCAATAACTGTGATCTCTATGCACACCACAGCACAGCCAGGATATTAATGCCTTTGCATTACAGCCTTGTCTTCATCATTGGTCTGGTGGGAAACCTGTTGGCCTTGGTTGTCATTGTTCAAAACAGAAAAAAGATCAACTCAACCACTCTCTACTCGATGAACTTGGTGATTTCCGACATCCTGTTTACCACAGCTTTACCCACTCGGATAGCCTACTACGCACTAGGCTTTGACTGGAGGGTCGGTGATGCCCTGTGCCGGATAACTGCCCTGCTGTTCTACATCAACACGTACGCCGGTGTGAACTTCATGACCTGCCTGAGTATAGACCGCTTCTTCGCTGTGGTGCACCCTCTGCGCTACAACAAGATTAAGAGAATCGAATACGCAAAGGGCGTTTGCGTATCTGTCTGGATTCTAGTATTTGCTCAAACACTGCCTCTGCTCATCAGCCCTATGTCAAAGCAGGAGGGGGACAGGACGACCTGCATGGAATACCCCAACTTCGAAGAGACAGCTTCGCTCCCCTGGATTCTGCTCGGAGCCTGCCTGCTGGGCTATGTGCTGCCCCTCATAGTCATTCTCATCTGCTACTCTCAGATCTGCTGCAAACTCTTCAAGACCGCCAAGCAAAACCCACTAACTGAGAAATCCGGGGTGAACAAAAAAGCTCTCAATACAATTATCTTCATCATTGTTGTGTTTGTTCTCTGCTTCACACCTTACCACATATCAATCATTCAACACATGATTAAGAAACTCTGTTCCCCTGATGCCCTAGAATGCGGCCCAAGACATTCCTTCCAGATCTCTCTGCACTTCACAGTGTGCCTGATGAACTTCAACTGCTGTATGGACCCTTTCATATACTTCTTTGCGTGCAAAGGGTACAAGAGAAAGGTCATGAAGATGCTCAAGCGTCAGGTCAGCGTGTCAATCTCCAGTGCAGTGAGGTCAGCCCCTGAGGAAAATTCACGCGAGATGACGGAGTCGCAGATGATGATCCACTCCAAGGCTTCCAACGGAAGGTAAATGGGCACATGGGTCACAGCAGAGCAAGCCACATGGTGGCCTCGGCAGACTGACTGTCCAGTTCCCAGTACGGATTCCTTTCAACTTCCCACTGCCAGTCTGCCAACCAACACACCGAGATCCAGGCCAGCCCGAGAGAACAACAAAAGCATGTTCTACTTCATGAATTATAGACACAGGAAGGCCAGCTTAGCAAGTCTCGATGTAAAAGGAGATGTTCTGTGTTCCTATGAACATAGTCATTACTATTTCTGCCAATAGTTTGGCAAAAGATAAATGACTGATTGCACTATACATTATCAGTGTAAAAACGTCAATACTGTAATATAGGAAACATATTTCTTAATTTACATCTCTTTCAATTTTAGGTTTTATCTCCCTAGTTTTTATTTGTTTGTTTGTTTTGTTCTGAGACAACTGTTTTAAGGAATATTTTGTGGGATAAAGAACAGGATGTAACAGAAGTATTCATATGCTACTGCCAACGACCAGCAGAAGTTACAAGTGTAATTAGCAAAAGGTGGATGAAAAGCAAAGGTGTGAGTGCTCACGACAACAGAGCAGTGAGAGCATCTCCCCAGACAGCCAGGCCTGCGCTCTGGACCGCCGCTCAGAAACGGAACTCTCGATGGAAAGCATGTCCACATGCTGCACTCTTTAGGATGGAAAACCGGCAGTACCTGGTATCTATATACTCTAGATTAGGCTATAAGAAGTGGGGGCAGTGAGGATTACAAGTATAATCGCCACATTTGCCTAAATAAATCAGGAAGTAAGATGCACTATTTATAAATTACGAGTTTTCAGGATTTTTTTGTCTTTAGAGGCAGGTTTTCTCTGTGTAGTTTTTGGAGCCTTTCCTGGAACTCACTCTGTAGACCAGGCTGGCCTCAAACTCAGAGATCTGCCTGCCTCTCCCTCCCAAGTACTGGGATTAAAGATATGCACCACCATTGCCTGGCTAATTTTTTTTTATTTTTAAAAAACTTATTTAAAATTTATTTTTATGTGTAAAGATGTTTTGCCTACATGTAATTCACTGCACGATGTGTGAGCAGTGCCTGCAGAGGCCAGAAGACGACGTCAGATGCCTCTGGACTGGAGTTATAGTGTTGGAAATTGAACATGGGTCCTCTGGAAGAGCCGTTAACCACTGAGCCATCTCTACAAAACCCTTTTCTGTTTCTGAGACTATGGAATTCTCTATGTGGACAGGCTAGCCTTAGACTGGTGTATGATCCTCCTGCCCCCTGCCTCCCTAGTGCTGGGCTGCAGGTGTCATCTGCTCAGGGTCTTGTGACATTATACACCTGCCCACAGGACTGCCTTAATACGGGCAGGTGGCCTTCCTAAACACTGTCTGCCTGATCAAATTTGCTTTCTTCTAGTCCTGAAATTTCCCCAGTACAGTATCTCAGATGGCAACGATACCAATTTAGATGACAGAGAAGAAATAAAACACTATGAGTCAAAATTTCAATTTTTATTGTGGTATATGCCCTGGAAATATTTCATTTTAATAAAATTAATTTGTTTCGTCTTTTGTCTTCTGAGACAGAGTCTCATTATATAGCCCAGACTGGCCTTGAACTCATTATGTATCCCAGGCAGGTCTTTAGTAATTAAAGTCCTTCCTCAGGCACATACTTGTAACCCTAACACTTGGGAGGCTGAGGCAGGGTGACTGCTGAGAATCAGAGGCTAGCCTGTACTAGGGTTACAGACATAGTATACCAAGCCCCTGCTTCAGGAAGAAAAAGAAAACTTATGGTGTTAGCCTTCTGAGTACTGAGATTACAGGTGTTGCTACCACACCCAGCTTAGAAAATAAATATTAATCATCACTACTATAACTATATTGAGTACAGTTAAGATCCAAATTATATTGATTTCATGGAGCCATCTGGTCTTAAAGCCACTAACAACAAATGGCTGGTCTGAGAGAGGCAGGTGGAAGTCTGGATCTTGATTCCTTTGTGCACCCCATCTACGGACTTCCCAAGGGAGGGTGGGAAGAGCAGTGGTGAAAGCTAAGCCAGAGCTCTGGAAACACTAGCACACCAGACAACCTGCTTCCTTTCCCAGCCCTCAGGCAAGCTTGTTCTCTGACCACACTGATCATCACACACGAGCCAGGGTGCTAATCAGGCCAGTCCTGCCACCCTGCAGAAAGTATATGTCGTGACAGTTTACGTGAGTGTAACAGTCTCCACCTTCTCCCTCCATCTCACCACAGAGAAGTGACTCCACCATGTCACCTACAGCAGACTGGCAAAATGGTGACCAGGAAGCATTTCTTCAGTATTAAGTGTTCTTAGGTCTATGGGTCCCGTCAAAAGGGCTATCAGCTCCCCATTCGAAAGTGGTCAGTGCTCACTTCAATCATGGGGCAGCTGTTCACACATGACGGGGTGTGTGCTCCTCACCTGTGCTTCAGTAAGCCCTACATTCCTTCCTAGCATTTTAGCGGCCCGTAAACTCGGTGTGAAAGGGCAGTGCTGAATAACTTCTGTATTCTGTGACGCACCTGATCATCACAATGAGCATTTGCTGCGTGAACAGACAACCTTGAGCAGTCACCTAACAAGAGGAGGCTACAAACTCATAAAGGACAGTGGGCAACCATCTGCATGATCTCATTCCTCTTCGGTGACCTCATTTTTATTTCTAAAAAGATCATTCCGTTAATTTAAAAATTCCCAAAGCTATTCAGCTGAAGAACTGTTAAATGTGGGGCTAGAGAGGTGAATGAGTGGTTAAGAGCACTGGCTGCACTCCAGAGGACCCAGGTTCAATTCCCAGCACACACACAGGGCGGCTTACAACCATCTTTAACTCCAGTCCCAGAGAATCTGGCATCCTCTTCTGGACCCCTGGGGCACCAGGCAGGTACAAAGTGCGCAGACACACATACAGGTAAAACACCCATACACATACACAAGTAAATAAACTTACCTATTTAAAAAAGAAAAGTTAAATGTGCTGACTCCTCAGTGACAGTTCAGAACAGTAAGCACCGGACAGAAACAGCACTGGCTATATTTTGAAGAGCTCAAAATTTTCCAAAGTAAATCATCTTTATCCATACAGAACTGATTTCCACAATTCTGTGAACAGTATGACCAGACAGAATTGTTCACACGAATTCCAGAAAAAGCAACTGGCCCATCAGAGGCAGGACTGGGAGGGTGGCCTTAACTTCCAGCCATGCAGGCGATGATCGAGCAGACGTAAACAAAGGTGAGCGAGGCTTCACTGCCACGCTACACCATCGGACTACAGAACCCTCCCGAGGGGCAAACCGCTCAACTCCGGGGGGTTCTAAAGTCGGGGCTGGGTGCCGCCTGCGGCCTGGGGCTTTGTGTGCAACAAACCTGGCAGAGTGAGGCCCAAAGAAAGGTTTCACACATTCGCTCAGCTGAACGGCTATACTAATACTGTCCTGCCCCAGCGAGAGCCCGAGTACTTGATTTCTCGATGAAATGAAAATACACAAATGGCCAATGATAGACAAATACATGTACGAGAAGACCCTCCAGGTTAAACTAGACGTGTGAAGAAGCAGAGCTCATTAACCAACAAATCAACAACAAAACTAGAGACAGGAGCATGGCCTGCTTGGACATGACCCACTATTTCAAGAGGCAAGATCAACAGTCCCAACACCAGGAAAGGCAGCATGTAGTTTTTAAAAGGGACACACCCATCTTAACTTAGCTGAAATGACCTATTTTAGTAACTTCTCAGCCTGCTGTAATTTGTTATTCTCCAAAAAGCTAAAAACATCTGTTCATTAAATATTCAGGTGAAGAATGAGAAACGAAAGGCACACAAATGAGGACTGAGGAGGGATGACAAGGCCCAGCCTTCTGAACCAGAGGATTACATGAGTATTTGCTAGATCTGCAGCAATGGCGATGCACAGCAAACTCAGGAAAGACTGAAACCCCATACCCACTCATTTTAAACCTTAACAGACTAAGGAGGAATAGTTTTCATCATCTACCTATCACACACCATGTTCCCAAGCACGTGATCACACCTATGTAGCTTCTATGTATGTATGTACATATGTATGTATGTATGTATACATGTATGTATGTATGTATGCTCCCCACTATGTGGACGAGGAGACCAGACACCAAAGGCACATGGAGGATGGAGCCAGGATTTAGGCTCAACCTTACGTCTCTGTACAGCAGCCTGGCTTGAAACAATCCATACCGCCTCCTACTGCACATGCTCACCAGGAACCACTCCAGTCCCTTCTCTCGGTAGGCCCCAGGCTTCCACTTCCTGTGGCTTTCAGTGCTAAGGACGTTCCTCCATCACCATATCTGAACCTCAGTCCATTTGCCAGGACAGCCTGTAGTTTCTCTGCAAACCCCACCTTACCTGTCTTGATCACCTACACCCAATTGCCCTCCTCTATCCATGAGAGTTCCGTGGTGGAGAAATCCCTGCTTGAGTTTTCTCCTCTTTGGCTCCTGCTCATCTCTCACAGTCCCACATCACACCCAAGCCCAGAAGCTGGCTGCTGCACGCCTGTATTACTGCTGCCTCTTCTAGCTGAACCTCTCAGCTAGATCCAGAAACTAGATTTCTTCAGGACGCCACCCAGAACCAGCTGCCTCCACTGACAGCCGCCTGGCCACCACCTACTGCACAGCACACTGCTCTAAGCACTTCGCTCCTTCAAGCTCCACACTCGCTGTGAGGACTGGAGTGTGAGGGGCGCTCGGACAGAAACTAGGACCTCAAGCATGTTAGGTGAGTGCTCTACCACTGAGCCACACCCTAAGGCTCAACATACTGAACGCCCCTGGCCTCCCCACTACAAAACTAACCTGCCCGAGGAAGTGGGGAACGTGCCCAAAGCCTCAGTCAGGAGGGAGCAGGCTCTGAGCTCTGGGTCGTCACTCTTAATCACTACACTTTCTCCACACACAAACAGAAGCACATGTCCCTCAGAGAGCCCTGCATCTGTGCCCTGTGGTGTGTGTGACTACTACTGGCCCAGGAGCTGGGGGAAAGTGGCACGCCACTTGTGGGTTTCTGTGTGAGAGAAGAGCGAGGCATGTTCTTCTAACCTTTCTACCTTGCCACAGAGAGCTCTCTGAGTAGGACAGAACTCCCACTTGGGCCCCATCTACGTGTGCTGTACAGACACAAGAAGTCCACGTGTGCACTTAAGCCCTGCGATTCCAGGTGTGTTTGTTACTACAACACAAGCCAGCCTGGTATGATTGATTCAGGAGGAAAAAACACCAACATATAAAGGAAGCAATGTGTGGTCACTATCAGGTTCTGGTGCACAAACATGCTCTCCCCTTAGTCTCCCTCCCACAGGGTCATTAATTCCAAGCTCCAAGACAGATGAAAAGTTCCCCGTCACACCAAAGTCCGAGTTCCTCTCCCACATTCTCAAGTCCTTCCAAACTAATGTCCCTCCACTGCTCAGGTGGACCTTCTGCATCAATCAGGCAGCGTCTGTCTCGGTGCAGAGAGAGCACACCTTGATTCTCACTGGCTGCATTTATTATTCTGCTTCCTCCACTCCGTTTAACTCTTACATCCAAATCATAACTTTTCCTTGTTTGATTGCTCCAAATCACCCATCTCCCTTTCTTTAAGGTACTTTAACTTTTACAGCCTATGTCACATAGTTGGGACTTGATGTACAATAATTTAAAACAAAGAAAACACTGTGCTGGCCTGAAGACCTAAAGCTTCGGGTCTGGCTGGCCACTAGCCAGACCTTTCCAATTCTGTCCAGTATTGAGCCTTTTCAGACTTCAGTTTTCTTGTCAGTGAACAAGAGATGGCTAATGTGTAAGTTTGTCCAGCCATCACTGCCTAGCCTATGAACAATTATTAGTTCATTCTCGTAACCTTCAGCTAAAACATTAGACTTACTGGGGCTAAGACACTGGTCTTTGCTGATCTCTGTTCTGGGAGGTTCTGAGCATAGCCCACCGAACACAGACAATGCTCAAAAGCCATGCTGACCACAGGTCATCATACTGCAGCTATAAGCTTTGCATTATCAAAGCTTGGTGGACGTGAGGTTTCATAACGCCTTAGGCGGCAACAGGTGACTCAAACATGCTTTGCACTGAACTAATAACCATGTCAAATACAGCAGATTAAAGCCAGAATGGCAACCCCGAGTCCTTTTCACTTTCTGCTGACAACGTAAGAAGACAGCGGCAGCTCTCGCACTTCCGTCCACACAGGACAGGTGACATGGCTGTCTACACGGATTTACTTCTGATAGCACAACTCTGAACTCAGCGAATCAGTGCAGACAGGAGCTGTCAGGAAGTGAGGACAACATAACAGGAAACACAAAGCACAGTTTAGTTCGGATCCAACTGTTTATTTTCCCCAGGACTCTGAAGCGCCTCTCTCACTGGCACACATGTGTGCTTCTCATTGACGATGCTTTCTAGATGTCCTGGCCTTTTCTTGTTAGTGACATCATCTCAAAGTCTTGTTACGA